ATCGGACCAAGTCTTCTTGCGGAAGATAGATCGTTCTACGGGTTATTAGGACATCAAGGAAAGCTAACGAGTTTGCCTCCTTTACTTCACAGGTAAATTTCAATTTGGGGTGTGCTGCATTGAATTCATCCAGCAATACAGCCATATCGTGAGGGTGATTGAAGATGATGAGCACGTCATCCACGTATCTTTTGTAGAAAAATGTTCCCTTGATTGCCTCGTCCAGCTGTGCTTCAATCATACCCATGAAAATATCAGCCAGGATAGTGCGATGTTACACGTACGCTACCGATGAGAGTGTTTGTCTTCTGACTTGCCTGTTCGAAGTAGTATTTGTTTCCGGTGTAAATCGGTTGGTAGTAGAAGAGAACCCGACTCAATCGGAACTAATCACGTGCTCTACGGAAAGAAGATTTGGCGATCTCGTAGATCACGGTATTTGGCGAATGCTCTGGTACAATTTTTAGTCCTAAGCGCCTTGACATCCCTGTCCTTGAGTGTTGTGATCTTGGACGATAAACACGATTTTCCGATCAGGTCATGAATTCAAATATCCAATTGCTATCTTAATTTATTTAGAATTAGTCATAGGTCGACATCGAGACTCTCATTCTGCCATCCATGGTATGTGTAATCCGAGGGTAGCCCCATCACTCCACACGATATTAGCCCTGTGTGTTCCTCACCGGAAGCGACCTTGATGGTGTGGTTTTATCGATTATTTCGTCCAGCCACTCATCAAGTTATTACTCTGTCATTTGAGATCGGGTACGGCAAGGCTTGATACACAAAACACCACACACGAATCATCTTAATGGTTCTTTGATGTTGGTCTGTCTGAAGCCGATTTCTTGAGATGTGAACTAGGAGTTTGTGGCAAAATTCGCCATAGTGTGTTATCTCAGATTAATATCAGTACACTAATTTCACTCCTTAGAGGATGGGCCGATGTCTTATTTTCAGATGGCATTATCTACTGGATCCGTAGGATGCGGGTTTGAATCCAGTCTGTCAAACGTTCAGAAGGAGCCACAATCCAGTATTTCTTTATTAATAGGATGTGAACAAGTGGTAACATTTCAGTTATCAGTACTCAATGAAATGTTATGCAATCAGCCTGGAGGAACATAGTTTTGGACATTCAAAGACATATTGGGGGGCAATTTTGTGGACATATTGCAGGTAAATTATATGTATACTAGCTATTGACTTCGAACATATATAGGTTCTTCAATTGCACGGTAACCTACTGTGGCGATCCTAGTTTACGGGATGAAGCCGGTCACGGAGTGAGGCGTTACAGTTTCTGGATAGAGAACCGCAGGCGAATCGTGCCCACCAATCAGAAGTTGTGTGGTCCAGACAGAAGTTGTATGAAGTCAAGAATGTAAGCAGGCGATTGGTGGATACCTGTATGACCAATAGACTTCCTTTGCAATGTTATTTAATCCACTGGATTTGTTTCAAAAAACGAACAGCTACTTCTGTGTTCTTTTTCTTGCATCTCTTGGTGACGGGAGATTCCAGTGCAAAAAAGCTAGTGTGATTAAGTGTTTCATTGGTCTCCGTGATTCGTGATTCGTAATCTGTATCTGCTTCGACTACTACACGTACTCTTTTTGGCCTTAAATGATCGACCGGAAGCGTTCATTTTTGTCCCGTCCTACTTTACAGTGCAAATTGTTAAAATGGTGACATCGGTGCGTTCGAAAAAAGAAACTAATCACACGCAGAGAAAAATATTTGCCAAATCCTAGATATTCCTAAACTCCTCGAAAACCCGTGTCAGTGAAAAGATGCCAAGTGAACGTTAGCTTAGAGTGGCCAATGTAGTACGTACGGAACTCACTGCCAACATTTCCCAAAATACCGTTTCACTCACTTGGACATCAAACGGGAACCAAGAGATATCAATGTTACACGTAGATTTGAACAGCCCCGGCGGCATCCATTGCACCTTGCCATCGTGTCGCATGATCACATTGGTGGGAAAGGTGCGATCGAATTTCTCATCCGCACTATGAGTAGACGGAACAAAATAATTTATGGTTGTTGACTCATCAAATCCTGACAGGCATGCTTCAGATCTGCATGATACGGTTCATCTCTATGTGACGTACCGGGGAAAAAACTCAGCGGAAACAATCACCTAATCGGGATCGTGGTCTGTGCTTACATATACTACATATACTATACATATATACACTTAACATATCCCGGCTATACTGTTCTTGTTTACACTTCTATCGGAGGTTTGCTGATTCGGGGTGAACATCGTTTGGGTAGCCACCAAACATTACGATGATTACACAGTGTGACAAAGTGAAAACTATTCAGCTCGTTCAATCCAATTCACAAGGATAGAAGGAAGTTGTGTTTCCAACGGCAGCCAGTCCATCAATCGTTACGGACAACCAGTGTGTTTGTAAATGATCAATTTATTGGACAAAAACGGTGGATTTGGGGCGTGAATGAAAGTCTAAAGCTGCAGGGAGTGGGAAACTTTTATTCTACGAAAAATGGCTCACCATCGTAAATCTTCGATCGAAGGTTGACCAGCACTGATCGTTGTATTGGAATTAATGAATATGGTTCTCGCCATTTAAAGATATTTGTTTATTTAGCCAAATCAAACCCCGATTGACACCAGCCTCGAAATGAAAGTGTGAAACAGTAGAGTTACGAGCGCACGCACGTCAAACTTAAAAAAACCCAATCAATTAGCTTTAATGGACTGAATGAATCACGTACGTTTAATGTGAGTTACATATGTCGACATGGCGAACCGCTGTTTGACTCAGTGCCGAATCAATGACGCAATTGATTGTGTCAATACACCCGAGGAAGGCAAACATGGCTTTCTCGACTAGGAAACAATTCACAAATACCGGTCATAAAGTTGACCTGGATATCACCCGGTTATGAAAATTCGAAACCCCTAGCATTCTCGGAGGCGTTATGAATCTCGACACATCATTCACCTCTTTGATCAGAAGAGAGTTCAACCCATATCGTTTGTGTTGCGTGGCTTTTTTTGTTAACAGACCTCGACTCACCGCTAGGTATGTTTGGTCTTAAAATCCAACTTCATCTGCGCCCACGGTTCTTGATTATGTTGCACTGAGCACATAAAAAGTCCAGTGGTTTAAGCAATTCAAAGGCGAAAATCAATTTCTTCCCGTCGATGTCTCAGGGTTGATACACGAGTTTCACAGCTTTGAAATAGGATGATTGAGTGGCCTAGTTGGATAGTTGTGGTGGCCTACGGGACAATGCCAGTCAAACGCATGCGCGTTAAAGTTTCTAGACAACGAGACACAGGAGAATCGTGTCTACGAATAAGAATTCGTGCGGTCCAAATAGGTGTATGACGTCAAGAATACAACCAGGCGATAGGTGGACACTTGGATACCGAATAGTGCGATTCAATATTTCCAGTTAAGTCAAGTCAAGTCAAGTCAGTTCGTAATTCGTGATTCGTAATCTGTGCCTACTTCGACTACGACAATTTAGCGTAGCGTAATGTACCTACCAACTGAACCTGCATGCTGGTCAGTCCGAGATTGATGAATGGAGGAGCGGTTCGAGCTGTATCGCGCAGAACCAATCAGCTCGATTTCTCACTGCTGGCAGCCGTGACCTCTATTCCCTGCCTGAGAACCTGGCATTCCATGAGGCTCCGGTGTAACTTCAATACGATTACTTGAAGCGGTTTTTACTTGATCCCCTGCTGCTCACTAATTTCTAGGAAGACGAACGGGCTAAATTCAATTCTGTGGTACGTGCCAAAAACATAACTTGTCGCGACTTCATCCTCCAGCTGAAGAAACTAACAGGCATCACGTTACAAATACAGCGATCGTCTGGAGGAACAGCTGTGTGACCGCTTGGTGTCAGGTATAAACAATTTGACACTGCTACGGATATTGCTCGAAAAAAGGCTCTGACGTTCGCAGAGGCAAGCGAGATCTGTGAAAAGCACGATGATCTGACGCAAGCAACTTCCAGCGAAGCGGTCACTTTACTCCAACAGCACAAACATAAATCAGTTCGATCTCCAGTGGCCAAACATGAATCCAAGCCACAGTGTGACACTTCTGACAACGAGTACCCCATCTCCCCATGCCTATCATGTGGAGCTTACCACCTACGATCTACGTATCGATTCCGCAATGCCAAGTGTCATGCGTGCGGAAAAGCTGGCCAAATCCGGAGAGTTTGCAAACAACTCTGCTGCAATCTAGCACAGCCTTCAGGCGAAAATGACACAAGCCTTGTGCATTCCCTACAACCCGAAAGTCAATTCCTATGCTCATTCCTGTGCTCAACTCCCATACAAAGGTGTGACACTACAGTCGAACACGAAACGCAAATTCCATTGTCGACATAGCCATGGACGTTCAGCGGGCCAAATTGGATGCTGACGGTGAACAGATCTTCATGAAACGGCGTGTAATCTCATATGGTCAACGTGAAGGTATATTGAAGGCCATCGAGAAAATGCAGTGTGACGGTATCATCACTCGTCTCATTTCAATCTCGTGGGCAACACCAACTATGGTAACCATAAAAGGTGATGGTAAAACACCATGAATTTGATGTGACTGTCGGCTGATCCTGAACTTTCGGTTGAGAATGTGTGTCGCCATCACCCTGGAACCCGAAGATTTCACGTACCCATCACATGGCAGCACATGTTTAAAAAGAACGGCTTGGCAGACGCACGTCTTTAAAATCCTCTCGTTCCAACATTCTAACAATTCACTACCAGCAACACACCGTGGGGACTGTATCATCTTGCTGTTGGGTCTAAATACTTCATCAGGCTTATTCCAGGCAGCCACTGAAAAGTCATTCGTGAACTTGATGGTATGTTGGTATATCCGGAAGGTGTTCGTGTGTTTGTTATAACGAAGACCGAGCAGGACGACGTTTTGTTCAAAAGAATGTGTCAATTCCGGCCACATTCAGTTCCGCATAATTGGAATTTTTGGGTTCTGCATTTGATTCGAAAAGCAATAGTCCTGATCATGGTCGCTTTCGTCCCGTGAATGAACTGGGATCATCGAAAGACCAACAACAGCTGAGGTTCATCATGGAATGCCCCCAGTACTACGCACGTTTCATCCCGAACTTCGCCGCGAAGGACTAACCGCTGTTTGCAGCTCAGTCGACAGCAGAATGGAAGTGGACCCCTGAGTGTGAACAAACTGTGCGCGAAATCATTCAGATGATAATGGAACGACTAGTATTGCCTCTTTTTCTCCGACGAAACATCCAACGTTGATTACAGACGCATCAGATGTTGGCGTTGGTGCCGATTGGGTGCATCTCTCGCTTATTGAACACGACAAAACGAGGATATTCGCAGATGCAGAAGGAAGCATTGCCTATAAATTGGGCTGTCCGACGCCGGCACAAATACTCGTTTGGACTGCGTTTCACCATGGTAACCGATCACCAAGCACTGCAGTACCTGTTCAATCCATAAAAGTCTATTTCCAAACCGATAGCGGCGATGATTCAGCAATGGAGCATTGCACTGGCTATCTACAACTGCACCAGTCCAGGTCAAACAATTCCTCAAGACGATTCCCTTTCCCGGTGGTCCGAATTCTCGGCGGCCAAGAGGTACCATTTCATTGCTACGGTTGCCCCGGTGTCACACGAAGAGTTGCGCAGATTTACCAAGCGATACTACCCAGAGATCATATCAGCCCTATCGAAAGGTTGGCTCTCAGACCGAAAGCGGAGATTCCCAACATTCTGCATTCATCGGGAAGAAATCAATGTTCAACCTGATGCAATATTATGCCACGACGATCGACTGAGAATTCCACCTCCGTTACGCAAGGAAGTACAAGAAGATCTGCACAAGAGCCACTTACGAGTGGAGAAGATGAAGCCGTTGGCACGAAAAATGGGTTGGTGGCTCGGCCTAGATGATTACCTCGGTTAAACCGCTAAGAACTGCGAAGTGTGCCTACACAAGCAGAAGTCAAGGCTGAAGAAATCGGTATCATAGCCAGAAAGCTATATCCCTTGGCAAAGAGTGCACGTCGAATTCTGTGGTCTGTTTCTCGGTCATTATCACGCACTGGTACTCATCGACTCGTACTCAAAGTGGCCGGAAGTATTTCTAACCAGAACACCAACTACATTGTTTTTATTGCGNTCTAAGCAAGTGTCTTAGTCGAGAAGGAGTCCCACAAGTATTGGTGACTGACAATGGATCTCCATTCTGCGCTGCGGAGATGAAAATGTGACTGGACAGTAATGGTTGCCGACATCTGCTCAAATCACCACGTCATCCTTGCTCAAACGGTGCAGCGGAAAATTTGGTGAAAACGATCAAAAGTGCCTTTTCCTCTGCAAACCCAAGCACGATCTCAGAGTTGTAGATACTCCTAGACAACTTCCTGTTGCAATACCGGAATGCCGCACATGCTACCACCANNAGAGCCCAGCAAAACTGTTCAAAGCCAGAAGCTTACGGTCTTCACTGCGATGCGTGGATTCAAGTGACGTCGTGTACTTCCAAGAAAACGATCTGAGACCGGCGAAAGGAATTATCACACGAAAGATTACCAAAAGCTTTGGTGGATAACACAGACCTGACAGACACGATAATTCTTCGATGCCACGTCGAGCACATTCATTTCAATGAGATTCCTACTTAGGTTGAGGACCCTATAGAAGAAATCCAGGAAGGTACGTCGTTACCAGATACGGAAGACTAAAGGCCGATGTCCCATACTGCCGGAACATCTAATGAGGAGAATACTCCGTTGGCGGTTTGAAGACCAAGCAATAAGAGCAAGTCAGATCTATGAGGCTTATTTGAGCGAGGAGAGTTGTTGTGATCCTGGCCTACGAGATGACGCATACCCTGGAGCGATGCGTTACAGTTTTAGGACAACCGCGATCAATTAAGCTTTCCGAGTGACGTCAGCAAGGCACATACGTGCCACAGCTTTCGGGCTACAAACCATAGTCCCGTTATATCAACCAATTAGAAAACCGCGTGGCCCAGACAGAAGCTAAACGACGCCAGAAATACTAGAACGCGATTGATACAGGCTTGGCTGACCAATGAATTTGTTTTGTACATAGTATTTATATAACTATGGGTTCAAGGTGTTGATGTTCTTTCCTAGTTTGTTTTTGTCAGGCATCAAAATCCTGTCGTTCAGATTGGCTTAAAACCACATACAGTTTCAGTCGAAACCAACCAGGGTTTTCAAGGAACAACCATAAACCATTCTTCAAAGACCTCTGGTTTTTGTTGACCTTTTTGCACTCGCGTGGATGCACAAAAGTCATGATCCAACATACCTGCGCACATCACCACATTGCATTGACCTTATTTCGGCATGTTTCCGGTGAAATTCACAAGACTTCAAGTACATCAGACGGTGCACATGGTTAGCACTGATTGATCGACTCTGGTTACAGTGAATTCGCGTGAACTACATGAGCAAAAAGATTGATTTAACTTCACTCGAGCCGTTTGCTCAACGTGTTGGTTGCCAGTGTTGTCCCTTAGAAAAGGGAACGTTGGGGGAGGACTTTGACCGCCCCCTCCCCAAACTCAAGATTCACGATTTGAGTTACGCAGGGCTGACCACAATCGACCATTGTACCAAATCAATTAGTTCCGTAACCATAACTGCATTTTGTTGCCCTAGTTACAATGGCGAATTGGAAACTTACCAATTATACAAAAGTATGTCTGGCCTCCAAACCGCGGCATACGGCAGATTGATAACGGTCACGTTTCCATAATCCATCGGATCCCATCGGAAGTGATAGTCTTGCCAGTTCTGTACGGGCAGATTAGTGTGTGTGTGTGTGTGTGTGTGTGTGTGTGAATGATAGAGGGTTTGGAGATTGGCGGCGGGGGTTGAGAAAGAGCAATTCCGGATATCAGAAGTCGTATTCTTCGATTTTTAATTTAGGTTTTGTGCTTCTACTGAACTGAGGAAATAATATTTACCCCATCTCCGGGATTTCTCTCTGAGCTTTACTGAATCGAATTCAATGTAATGGTTTACAAATCTGCTCCATTTTCCAACAGTGACTGTGGTATATTTGAACGGAACTAGTTACTAGCATTCGAATGATATCCAGATGTTTTCTAGACGGGTAAGAGAAGGCTTCCGTGCGGACCTTTCATCGTTCTGTTCGTGTTTTTATTTCCTCGTCGGTCTATAGCGTTGGATCCGAATCACTTTGGTAACACTATGAAGATAGTTCAGTGGACAGCGGGAGAAGTGACATGCGCAGCTGTTATCCCCTCGTATGTGCACAGTCATTTCGCCTATTCATTTGATTAAAAAAACATTGATTTCATTTGATTTTTCGCTGTAAATATCACAGTTTCCCAACATCAAGTTTATAAACTCTGTCATTCAAGTAACGCAATGCATCCTGGATGCCAAAAGAGGCATTATATTGGACAAATAAAACATTATTGTTGAAAATGGCAATTAGCAAAAGGTGTTCACCTTTCCGACAGATATAAAAAAAATGCGTGATTGAATGTATTAGTCACGAGTGGAGTGTCAATCAGGCATCGATACACTTAAATAGGTTTTGTTCGTTCTGATTGGTGATCCTGGTCCCTCATGCATGGTTTAATGCTCCCCCCTCCGATCAGTTAGCAAAAGCTGCTCCTATCATTCTTCACGTGATTGTGCACACTATGAGCCGTACGGATTTGAAATGCGTTCAGGACATTGATGAATTTATTTAACGGTCATGTGATATCATTTTATACACGTATTACGCATATAATCGAATCGCCCACTCATATGCAGCGCGCACTGCATCTGACAAAAAATTCAAACGGTCACACAAAATCAATCAGATGGCTCGTTGGGCTCATTCAGCGGTCATGTGATTGACTGATGGAACAGATAGGCACAGATAAAGGATATGCGTGATTAGAGTCGCGGTAACCACGCGATCGAAAATGTTTTGTCCGGTAAACACAACGATAAGCGATCGGGCATATGTAACAGATAAACATCATAGATTTTAAAAAGCTGGGAAGTTGAATATCTTAACGTAACATCAAAGTTCTACGGATTTGCTATGTGACACACGCGAAAAATCGCAGTTTAAATGAAAATGGTATACGTGAATCGAGCATTCAAAACAATTCGCTTATTTATTTGCGACAGAGATCTTTGTTTATTGGTTTTCAAAAAACCGCCAGATTGCTCATTTATTTTTGTAGAGACTAGTCAGCAGTGCTCATATGGTGCTTTCCTGACGGGGATTGAACCCTAAAACTTCGCGTTGAGACAGGGAAGCTGTACACTTGAACCGTACAGACGACTGCGAGCATCAATGACATTAGACACTTCCTGTAGTGTAGTTCATGCGAATTTACAGTCACTTATGTCTATGTATGATTTTTGTGTTTTGTATGTGTCTTATTCCTTGAGAGTTTGTTTCTTCCGTACATGTTCTGATACACTTTATTTATCCGGGAATTCTTTATCTGATGAAGGAGGAAGAGTAATGGATGACTGTGGTGTGCAAACCCCGAGTTCGAGTATACATTGAACTAGGAAAAAACGAATTCTTTTGGCAACGGTAAAGTGGATAAGTTGATTTCAGAAATGGGGCAAGCTCAACCAAGAATTAGAGAACCATTGCTAGTGCAACTGAGCTCTCGTAAGTTCGGAAGTTATTTTGAAAAATGAGATGGATGCGAGCAGAAATAAGTACAAGGCCGGAAATTTTGGAAACGATTTCAAATTATTTTGCATCAGCCAGTCTGATGCTAATGGTCAATTCGCTGATAAGTACACGAACATAGGTAGTTTAGGAATCAAACTGGTTTGCTAATCAAATGATAGAAGAACGTCTTCTCCCTAATTCGATTCAACCTCAGCAAGAACGGTGGGAAGCAGCCGATTGTTTATGTCAAACTGTTTTTCTTCGATATTTCAGTGCAACCAACCCATCGGTACCGGTAAAGTACACACACACACACACACACACTTCTACCTGCTTGATTTGATTATGTATTAAGCTTGAAACAGATCAAGCGTTTCCAGAAGGAACAATCCGCAGTCTCCCGTCTGGTGCGTTTCTCACAGTCCGGTGAGATTCAGTAATGATTATAAACTTAAACACGTGATCCGACATCTACCAGGCGGTCATTATGTACATACAAGCGTGACTTATCCTCGTTCGCTCCCCATCTTCGTGTGATCGTGTGTGTACGCATACCTTCAGGCGATAATTTTGCAGTGGACCCCGGACAGTAAGTAGTTCGACGATTGCGTACTGATTGTCACCCGCCAACCACCACCATCACACCACCCTCCCCCGTTAACCAGCGAAGGCCTCAACGATCCCGATGGCATAGTGACCAAATTATTAGGAATTCAGTTCGCGATGACTGGAGTCCCTGTGGACACGTCTGCAAATATGTATGCAGACTTATTTTTTGCTGTTGGAGAAGATCGGTTAATCCAATCAGTCTCTGTTCGTCTGGTCGGACGTCTGATTGTCTTGGGGATAATATAAACGTAACTACACGTTTTGCTGTCTGAGCCCCCAAGACACGTGAGAACGATTTGGAGTCATCAGTGAGACTTTTGTCCGATTTTTGGTTGACCACAAAACACGCCACTTAACCTCGAAGAAAATATCCTGGTTACCTGATCTTGGGTGTCTGCGCGATGAGCAATGACTGAATCTGGAAAGAGTCAAACACTATGAATCTACTCATAAACCTATGGATAGCGGGTATCCAGCTACGTAGATCACCATCACACTGGCCTGTGGAGCAGTAGTACTCGAACCACGGTGAGTGATTTGGATTTAATGACCCAAATCCGTTCGTAAAATTTTCAGTTCATTTGATTTTGGATTACGTGGCTATAGTAATTCAGACCTACGAGTTGACGCCTACCCTGGACCGGCGCGTCACAGTTTTCGGACACGTGCGATCAATCAAATTTGAATGCTGACGTCAATGACACACGTACGGCTTCTGACTACACGCCATTGGTGGATCGTGCCAGCCAATCCGAGACAGTGCAAGCAGAAGCAAGATTATGCACTCAGTATTGAAATCCGATTAGTGGAAGCCTAGATAACCAATAACCTTCTTTGGCACTTATTACTTAATCGCCCTCATTTCTTTCAATAAACGAAATACGCACTACTATTCGCGTGGCTTTTTCCTCTCGTCTTGTTCACCTGGGATATTGCGAGCTCGTGCCATTGCTATCCAATGCTTCTGTGATCCAGTCCGTGACAGCTAATCCTTGACTAGTGTCCGATGATTCCTATTGCGTTGTTTGTATTCCGAATTCCATACGTACTACTACGACTAATACAATCCTTACAGAGGCTCTGTGGATTTTCAACTGCTAGCCAAAAGTCATTTTTAATTCTCCTACTCCAACTGACTTTTTTGGGCTGAATCAGATTTGGATGTAGTCTCAGAAGATCCAGAGGAAAACGGGCGACTGCTTTTCCTTTATAAAATCGTGTTCTATTCTCGACCGCTTTCTCATTCTTCTAACTGGAACAGAAGGAAAACTTTTCGAATCCTCAGTATGAACACCACGGTACCTCCCCAACCACCCACCTCCCGGGCAGTCACCTTGTTGGGAATAGAATTCAAACGGCTCAAATTTATCCGATTGGCGGATGTTTCCGTTCTTGGAAGAGAGAGCACAAGCAGACTAGTCGTTTGCGCTCATCTAAGCGGTCATCGGTTTCCCGTGCGATAACCCCTGGTGCATGGCGGGTAACCCTTCTTAGTGTTCAATTTTGAGCAATAATACTTGCACGATTTTACTGCAAAATTTCCATTACTGTTTCGCAGCTTCTTGCCAGAGCTTCATTTTTGTACCTGACGGACGGAGCTTAAACAACCCTCCAGATCGCGCAGGCATTCAAGGCAGGCCATACGCACGCTCATAACATTCCAGCCAGGCTAAGCCCGATTGGTTCGATTGGATCGCGAAAGCGAAATGTCAAGGACGCCTTTTGACTGGGACGTCTAAGCGCAGTTCTCGTATGCGTGATTGTTCTAGATTTTGTGCGCATCCCACTCTAACTCCACCGTTTGCTAGATCGGACAAAGCATTTTGTAGCACATCCTCAATGCCGTCTATGCCGTCTTCACTGGAGATGGCGAAGGGCGTTGAAAGCGGATCATGCGCCCCAACCCGACATGAGGTGTAACAATACAAACATACTTCTCTGCTACTCTGGTACTCCATTCTTTTGATATTTTCATAGTGACACCTTAGTGATTCCGTGGCAGTCGTGTCTTTCCTGTGGATTTTCCTGTTTCAGAAGTGGATTATAACAATTTTTTTTAAATTTCGGTATGAACAACCTACAGTAGTGCCTATGATTGCTGCCAACACCAAAACCAGTTACTAGGGGTGGGGGGCAAAGAGAGGTCAATCAAGATCCCCATACACGTAGCACAGAAACCGTGATGTGAAATGGATGATTTTGACGCTACTATGCCAGTGTGGCCCAAGACGAGCCTTTCGTTGAGACATGTCCAATAAGGCGGTAAGGAGCCGTTAACAACCCGGGAACACGAATCGTTATAGGAATACAGTGAGAGGGTGGATGAAAACTCCCCTAGGAAAAATTCAGGACTGTCGCGATCAATTTTACAACAACTTCGTCATCAACTATGCTTATTCAACTCCCTTCGTTTTGAATTCCATGTGAAATATCGCCAATCTTTAGTTAAGGGATTTAGTGGTCATAGTCTAAAAATCCCATTGGATAGATA